GCTTGGCTTGGCTTGGCTTGGCTCAGCTTTGACAATACTGCGCAAGCTTGCCTACGACCTCTGTTGCTTCAAAAGGCACACGCACACACACACACACACGAGCGAGTTCAAGAGGCAGCCCGCAAAACTCCTCAAACGCATCTTATTGACGTATCGCCTTTTCCCCAAGGGGCTCAGACGCAAAACGCTAGCGATTTGGGCTATACACCCCCAAACCCAATCCAAGGAAAAAAATCGGCGAGTGTTGGGATGAATGGGAAAGGCAAAGCAACAAAAGATGAGCCAATCAGCTAAAACAAATCATTAGCGAATCATAGCCCCTGTTAGCACGGCTTGCGGGCCGGTTCCAAGCCCTAGCGATTTGGGGTTTGTTCGAAATGCTACAAGTACCGTAGCGATTTTAAAACGCTAGCGATTTCAGCGGCTAGGCCTACGACATATAGCTGAAAAAAGAGCGTGTTGAGAAGTCTTGCCCAACCCAGCTTTTGTGTCTGCACATATTCTACGAATGCACATACATACTGCAGGGCCCATGTCAATAGCTTCGGCGCATGATTTGCGCCAACAAAAGGGTGAGCCTTTATTCGAGATTGGCATGGCAGATACCAAAGAGCGTAATCGGCAGGACAAGGACGCCACGTTGTGCCCGTATTACGAAGAGCTACATCAATGCTCCTGTTCGCAACCCAGGCACCAGTGCCGGACGCAGCCAAGTATGAAGGAGCTCATTTCCACCTGACAGCACGAAAGCCGCCGATAAAATAGTACACCTCCACATGACAGCATGGAGCTCACTCCCCGGCGTGATCAACGCAAGTCACTGTTCCGGCCTAGTAGAGGAGCCACATCCTCAGAACCGGCCTGCACCGAGGAAAGTGACAGTGCTGCGTCGATGACCTTGGACATCCCGATGCCGCTGTCACTCAGACTTGGCTGGCTGCAACTGAATGGAGTCAAGCTGCGCAAAGGCCTCGCAGTGTCCTTTGAGACACGCTCTCTGCCAGTCGGGCAGATTCTGCGGCCTGGGTCGTCACGGCTGACTTCGCATTCTCTCGGCTTTGGAGGCACCACACGGTGCAATGGTTCGGCCTTCCACTGCCCTTGTGAGGACATCGCAAGCCCCCTGAAAATCTCGTGGCCGGGGCGCATTCTTCTTCTTCAGGAAGCCGTCAAACTGCCGTGTCTCGTCATCGTTCTGCAGATGTTCCAGCAGCGAAAGTACAGCAGAGTTGACGCCCTCGCGACAAGGGAATCTGGGAATTTCAGTTGGGACCCCATTTTTGAACCCTAAATAAGATTTCCTGCAAACTTCCCTGGTATGTTCTGAAGATATCCGAAATATGTAATGAAGCATAATGAAGTATATACATTACATGGCTGGTGCTGCTGCTTCGGAGCATCTTGACATCTTCGGATCGTTCCTGTAACACTCACCCGCCTTCGCGCATGGTTGGCACACTCTGTCTTCTGACATCATTACTCATCGTCTCGGGCACTGGGGTTTTCTGATTCATGGTCTCCTTCAGGGTACCTAGGACGACTTGACCACACAAAATCGCTCAGAGCGCGATTTTTTGCCTTGGCAAACTTCGGAGGGCGACGAAGCCGATCTGGTGTGAGACTAGGAGACTTGCTAGTGACAACATTGCAAAGAGGACAGACGACCAAGACCAGACCACAGGTCCAAAAAGACGGCAGAGCCGAAGCCACCGGAAGCAACTCCAAAACCGAGTCGCACCTTCGCCACAGTTCTCTTGACCCCTCATCTTTACAGCCAAACCCCTAAACCCTAAACCCTAAACCCTAAACCCAAAACCCTAAACCCTAAACCCTACACCCTCAAATCCAAAAAAGCACAGTCCGACCTCAGGGTCGGCTCTGCGCAAAACGGCCGCGGCCAGATGGTACAATGTGGTCCCCGTGGCCGAATCTGAGCCAAGATCGTGGGGTTTTAAGGTTAGGGACTTGGAGCGCAGCACCTGAACTGTGGCAGGCTGCCGACTGCAACAAGATCAAGACTCCTGCAACAGTGAAGAAGTCTGAAAGGTTAGGATGCAAGGCCACCCCTTATGCCCCATAGCTGCTGCCGGGTGACCTCCCACCTCATCTGGAGCAGGCGCCTCACGCAGCACTGTGTCGGCCACCTGCCCATCCACAGATTTGGCAAAGCTGCTGCAGCCTCTAATGGCCCTTACATGCCTGCATGTCAATTTCCCTCTTCTTGCCGCAAAGCAGTTGATCAGAGAATGCTGTAGACTTGTTGCATGAAAATGCGTGCAGCTTCCTCGCCTCCACAAGATCCGTTGTACTTCCACCCTCCTCGCGATACCGTGTGAGAGACCCACTTGCACTGCACTCTTCAGCTCACCCTTCCGCGTTCAAATTTGCCCGGTGATAAAAATGAAAGTAGGACTGTCATGGAATAAGAAAACTAGTACTGAGCAGCAAGTACTGGATGTAAGCATCTTGGTGTTAATCTTGTTGAATATCTGGCGTTGTTCTTCCCATCTCGACGGTCATCATACTTGTTGCTTGCATTCGTGTTACTCTTGCTGATGCTGCGACTGCTACTACTACTACTACT